TTATCAGCTGAGTCACTTTAAATTAGCCCGGTCATGTAAATACAGGGCTAATTTATTAATTATTCTTTTCTGGGTTTTGTTTTTGTTTTTGTTTTTTTGTTTTTGTTTTTGTTTTTGTTTTTTTGAAACAGGGTTTCTCTGTGTAGCCTTGCCTGTTCTAGAACTCACTCTGTAGTCCAGACTGGCCTTGAATTCACAGAGATCCACCTGCCTCTGCTTCCTGAGTGCTGGGATTACAGGCATGCACCAGCATCACCTGGCTATTAATTATTCTTAATTTTATTAAGAATAAAACCCCTACAGGAACCCCACGGGGTGTACTTGCCTGCTTGGTCTGGCATGGCTATATCCTTCTGCCCAAGTAAAACTTCTTGCCTTGCTAAAATATTTAGGATTGGCTAATTATTTTCTAGGACTCAGACCTATTTCTAACATAAAGGATGATTCACATCTTAGTTAGCCTCAGCCGTCTGTTTGTCACCTCTAGAGTAATCTAGAGAGTCTGCTGAGGGTCTACCTAGATCAGATTGGCCTGTGACCATATCTGTGAGAGACTGCCTGGTGTGATGGTAGATCCGGGAGGGCCCAGCCCACTATGGGTGGTGCTCTCCCTAAGCAGGTGAGCCTAAGCTACTAAGGAAGGAAGCTGCGCATGGTCCTGTGGGCCAGCAAGTAGAGTTCCTCCATGGTTTCTGACTCAAGTTCTGCTCTGACTTCCCTCGATGATGGACTATGATCTGGAAGCACAAGCTGAAACCAACCTTTTCTTCAGTGTTTTATCACAGCAACAGAATGAAACTAGCACAATCTACGTTGACACATCTCTCAAAGTGGCTTCAAGCTGATGCTATAGTTTGGATCTGGAAGGTTCTCCCCCCATTGGCCCATGTGCTAAGGGCTTCTTTCCGAGAGTGCTGTGATTGGAAAAGGGTGGAAATTTTAAGATTGGAGTTAGCAATTGGTCTTCTTGTCACTGAGGGTGTGCCTTTGAAGGGGACAAAGGGAGCCAGCTTTTCTTCTTGCTCTTTCTCATGTCCCTGCCGTAAGATGAACAGATATGCCCTGAGGCACATCTTCCACAGCTACAGTGATGAGGCGATGAACCTAAAACCTTGTGAGCCAAAACAAGGCTCTCCTCCTGCTACGCTGATAACCTCAGTTACTCATTTCAGGGAGGGGTGTTGCAGTGGAAGTTTTGGTTTCTTTAAAAACCCAGTTATGGCATATGAACAGGTTTTTGTTTTAATCCCAAGTGTGGGATGTGGAGTTGATTTTGGTTTGTCCACAGCTGGTAACTGCCTCGTGTGGCTCGGAGGACTTGCAGAGGGTATAAATACAAAACTCCAGAGCAAGAAGGGGCGAGAACTTCCAGATGGATGGAGGAGGGAGGCTGCATGTTTGTCCTGCGGCATTTGCTGTTTGCTGTTGCAGGGCTGCTAGATTTCCTGATGACTGAGATTTTTTTTTTTTTCCCAAAGAACCCGATGACCCTAACCAGCTGGAATTAAGTCTAACGAGGTCTACATCCCCTTTCCATTCAAGCCTTTCTCTCCCACCTATGGTTGGGTGTTGGAAGGGAGTAGAAGCTTAAGGAACCCCAAATAAAGTAGAGTTTTAAAATAGTGCCTACAGGGTGTTACAGACCAATTGACAATTTTGAAGGTTATAGGTCGCTGGGACTTACACCAGACAGTCTGTTACAAACAAGGAGAGGCAAACAAATACTTGTTCTACAGGTCACATTTAAAATAGGCAGGCAGAAAGGTTGACAAGGGATAGGCAAGATGGTCTCCTGTAAGCTGCTGCGAAAAGAAAGCTCAGTTTCCTAGCTTGTATATCCCACGCCAGCTCCAACCTGCTATGTAGCCCAAGGATGACCTTTAACTTCTGATTCTCTTGTCTCCATCTTCTGAGAGCTGGGGTTCTGGGCATGCGCCACAACATCCAGCCTATCAGGATCTGGGGACAGAACTCAGGACTAGGAAAGAACTCTGCCAGCTGAGTGAAATCCTCAGCTCCACAACAACTTCCTAGGCCAGGACAGAAACTCCTGTGCTGTTTCACCCAAATCAACAGAGCTGTTATGTCTTTTGTTAGTCTGTGTGTTTGCATGCACATATGTAAAGGACAGAGATCAATACCAGGTATATTCCAGTTTGCTTTCACACCTTTTTCTCCCCCTTTAAGACAGGTTTTCTCTGTGTATCTTTAGCTGATCTGGAACTCGCTCTGTAGCTCAGACTGGCCTCAGAGACTCACCCGCCTCTGCCACCCACATGCTGGGATTAAAGGCGTGTGTCGCCACTCCCCCAGCTCCCCATCTTGTTTTTTGAAACAGGGTCTCTCACTGGGCCTGGGGCTTAGCAGCTCCTGGACTAGACTGGCTGGCCAGCAAGGGCTTAGGGTTCTCCTGTCTTCTTCCTAGACAGGACAGGGCATGACTCCAAACCCTGCTTTTCACATGGGTGCTGGGGATTCAAGCTCAGTTCTTCATGCTTGCTTAACAAGTGATTTACCCACTGAACCACCTCACCAGCCCTCATTCTGCCCAAACGATATCACAAGGAAATGACTGCGACACACACAGACATTGTGACCAGAGGAAGCTCAGAGACCTCCAGGCCTGCAACGAACAGCAAGGGGCCACAGAGGGCCGGCTGGCTAGCAGTCACCGCTGTGACCCTCAGGTGTGTATGGTGGGAGACCACAGTGACTCATCTAGACCCTGGCTCCCCAGCTGACATCCCAGAGGCCTGACAGGTGTCCCCCACATGTACTGTCTCTACTGCTACCACTCAAATGCCATGGTGAAAGAACCAGCTGGCTCAGGGATGACCCCACACACCTTCAGCTTACTCAGCTCTCAGACCAGGACTGACCACACTGCACACCTAGAGCAACTGGAACCCACGAAGCTCCCCAGGCAGGCCTCACCTCCCTCCTGCTGAGCCCAGGACCTCTCCCAAGTCAGAAGAGGCCATTCAAAACCAAGCCCAGCCCCAGGCCCTGCTGTGCCCTGGCCCTGCTTCCTGCCGCCTTCCCTTAGGCATGAGACCCGGCACCGAACACGGGCTGCCGTCCCCACCCATCCCACCCATCCCACCCCGCCGCACTTGCCCCACTGCATGCCTTTGTCTGGTGTCTGTTCTCTCCCACATTTAAGCTGTGGCCCCTCGATTCCAGCCCCACCCCAGCCCTACCCCATCAAAGAGTACCTCATGATTTTTTGGCCAAATGGCTAAGAGGAGAGAGGGTTGAGAATGGTCACCCAGGCACTAATGCCCTAAGGGCAGCGCCAGCTCCACGCCCATACATACAGAGACAAAGCTTCAGAGGGAGGCGCCTGCAGGGGGCGCCACAGGCATGAGCCTTCATGACTACACTTGAGACACAGGGGGGACAGAGGCTGTGGAACTGAGGGAAAGGCAATAGCAGGACAGGTTGACCGAGGCAGGAGCCAGATACTGTTCAGCACCACTAAAAGCTGATGAGAATGTTCATTTCATGTTGAGCTAGAAGTCCTTATTGTAAGAATCCAATACTTGTTTGTTTTTTCCTGCAGACGAGCAAAAGCAGCAGGTATGGGCCACGGGCATTCGAACGGCAAGGACTGGCAGTCTGAAGCAGGGAGCAGTCTGCTAAGGCTGTCGGGACCCTTCACTGTCACTCTGAGGACATCACTGTAACTGGAGTGTAACTGACATCTAGCCCAGCAGGCCGCGCCCCAGCGCCAGCACTCTACATACCTTCATCGGTCCTGAAAGGCAGGGTCCCAGGCAAGACCCTCAGACTATTCTCATTCTAGAAGGGAAGGGGGCTGCCTCCCCAGTAGCTCAGCAAACTGGAGGACCTGAGAGTTGCACCAGTTGCTGTAAACAGAATCCTTCATCAGCATGCCACACACCCCTCCTGGCTAAATGACTACCAGGCCACTCAGATTTCTCCATTCTACTGGGAAGCATCTGAGACGCCCCAGTGATACTAGGCCCAGCAAAAGGCTTCCTCGCTCTGCCTGACCTCTATCCTGGCTGATCTGTAACAGCCAGCAAAGACAACAGGACAGAGGTGCAAGATGGGCAAGGGCTGCACACTCATCACTAGAGGTCTTGGAATTACCAAGCGTTGAAGGCCAAGGGTCTCAACATCCAAGGGTTAGGAGCTGTAATGCTACCTTGCACTATGCCGGACACTGCCACTAGCTACTGCTCAAAGTTGAGGGTTTTATCAACTGCCAAGTGCTGGGCTGCAGGCAGTTAAAAAACCAGAATGTGGTTCCTCCAACCTAAGCACCTGGAGCTGTGGGTCTCTGGCTCCTGAGGCCTGGACCCAAGACACACCCCTAGATCCCAGGGCTTGGAAATCCATTGGGCTTCAGCTCTCATGAGCCAAGGGTTTACTAATGCTAGAACTACCCACCCATTCTGAATTCCATGGAATAACCCAGCTTGCTGTTTAACAGCAACTGCCAAAGTCCCCAGGATTAAACAGGAACCAGCTATGTACCCTGGGCTTCTCTCCTAAATGACACCTAGGAATCTTCTCAGTCAGAGATGGATGTCAACAGGACACACAAGGTGCTCAGTGCCCACAAAGGTATGCAGCTGCTGGAGGGCCACAGGCCTGAGCTACTGGCCCAGGATGACCCATTCCACATGAACGGCAAAGCTGCATATAGCATCTTCACGGACGATGCTGTCTAGATGTTTGATTTTTTTCTTTATAAGGTAAAGTTGATGTACAGCCCCTCCCCCAAAAAAAAAAGTTTACATGCTGTGAACCTATAGTCAGTGTCCAAGCCCTCTGCAGAGACCTTTCCAGCACCCAACTTCCCTTCTTCCAGTACACTCCGTGAATGAAGTTGTCCAACTTATGTCTGTGTTTTGTCTTCTGGTACTAGGTGAACCCTCAGTCCTGCTTAAATTTTTTATTTATTATAAATAAAATTGTTTATGATTTATTATGACCTTGTTAAGTGCCATACTGAGACATGGAGACGTTTTTTCAAGTTTTTATTTGGTTGGCTGGTTTGGTTTTTCGAGACAGGGTTTCTCTGTGTAAGAGCCCTGGCTGTCCTAGAACTCACTTTGCAGACCAGATTGGCCTCAAACTCACAGAGATCCACCTGCCTCTGTCTCCCGAGTGCTGAGACTAAGGCATGTGCCACCATGCTTCAAGATTGAGTTTTTACGCTCTGGATTGCAGCACCGTTGGCTTCTCCTAACACTGACGGCATCTCTGGTTCACACTGCCACTGGGTGGTCCTTGACAGGCCTTCTGTACACATCCCACTGATTCTCTGGGAGAGGCCTAGAAGTGTTTCTCCCAGTCTGCTGCCAAGCAGTCCTTCACCAACCCAAAGCAGTGTCTCGTCACACCCTTCCAGCCTGTAAAGGGCACCCCTTCCCATTCGACTGGTTGCCATGAAGATGGCGTTCTGACCTAACCGACAGTCTCAGTTCCCATCTTGCACATCAGCTATCTTTCTTGATGTCCTGCTGCTCCTAAAACCACTGGCAAATGCAGTGAACACTCCTAGCCCAAAACTGTCTTCCCAACCAACACCACCAACCAAGAAGCTGGAGACGAAATCCAGCCTCACACAAAATACCCAAATTCTTTTACCAGTGAGACACATCCTACTAATAAATCTTTTAATAGTTTCTTCGGTAGGAGTTGAAGCTATCAAACTTCCCTTCACAGTCAGCCTATTTTGGTGTGAGGAAAGCACCTCTGATGCTCCCACTTCCTTTGCATATTTGGTTCCCTTGGGTGGCAACCTAGAAAAGAACTGCATGTCCTCACTGGTTTGAGAGTAGGGCCCCACTGCCCACTTCCCGGCCTCAAAGGTGCCTGTGGCTGGACAGAACTTTAGTCCTTGTGACCTTAAGATCAGGTTGGGATGTTGGGGACAATGTGATCTTCCTCAAAGTCAGGAAGGGAGGAGTGTCAGGAACCCACGCCTGCTCTGCTGGGCTGCAGGTGAGGACCCTGGAGCAGCACAAGTCATCAACGGTGGGCTTGCCCTCGGACCTCGGGATCCACTGAGGAAGTTGTGCCAACTGACATGAGTATGGGTATAGCCCTTTCGTGTGGAAAGGCTGGTACTGAAATCTTCCCCAAGTGACAGCTCCTCACAGCTTGACCAAGCATGAGCCCCACAGCCGAGCCTCGTACAGGCTTTCTTTCACACGGCCTCAGGCCTTGAGCCCCACAGAGACGATACACAGACACGGGGATCTACCTGGAACTGCACTAACTGCAAATGGAGAAGCGGCAGCTGGCAGCACTAGGTCTGCTTTGGATTTTTTAAGGTCAAGTTCCAGAGGACCACTGGAAGTCCTATAGCAGGGCAGTCTTCAGAAGCAGGGAGCGTAAGTGAACTTGTTTATAGCCCAAATCACAGTCATGAGGAGCCTAAGACAGTCAAGTCACCACGTGCCATGAACCAGAGCCAGAACCCACAGGTGGAAGCAACAAGGAGAGCTGAGCCAGTGTTAGCAAGCAGGAGCAGGGGCTGCAGGCCAGGAGATCCAGCACAGGCCCAGCAGCAGGCAGGAGGCTCCAGAGACTCTGGGAGCTATGTCCATAAAAGTGACGAAGGACCTATTAGACACTGACTGTCCAGAAGTGTGCTAGGAACAGTCACTGGGAAAAACCAGCATGGTGGCCTGCTTAGGGCCAGAGGCCACCTGTACCAGAACTGTCACCCACCCCAGACATGAGCTGTCACTCTAGCACACACCACTAGGCAAAAGGGAACCTCCCACCCCCATTAGAACGATGTAGTAGAGGGTCCACAGTACCCAGAGTCTGGTAGTGGCCTCTGGCCTGGGTTAGCAGGAGGCTAGGGGTTGCCTAGTGGGTCCTATTAGCTGTCCAGTGTCTGGACAGTGTTTGGAGCTGGGGACTGGAAAGGCAGGGCTAGAGACCATGGAACTGCATGAGCCTGCTGGCTGGGAGAAGCCTGGGATAGGAGAGAGCCATCCCACCAGGCTGTGGGCACATCCTGGACACAGGCTGCTTTGTGAAGGCTGGGCCTGCCCAGCAGCCTTTGGAACAAAAGGCCTTCTGTCTGGACCGCAGCTTCCCCTCCTCCGCTCTCCCAGGCAGAGCCTCCAGGGCCCCCACCCAGCTGCCACCAACACACATCAGGCACATCCATGGTCCAAGACAAGAGGCTCTGCTGGAGAAGGCATACAGACAGTCTAAGAAAGCAAGCGGTGCAGGGAAACGACCAGAGCTGGGCAGCTCAGGGGAGGCCTAATACTTCCTGTACTGTGGGGCATGTGTGATTCCAGCATGGTGCCAGCCATGCCCCATGCATATCTCAGTGTCCCAAGAGGAATTGAAAAGGGGCAGCAAAGGGCAGAGCCTGATGTCCCCACAAATATCTCTACCATGTACACACAGGTCCCCTCCAAGAGGAGGACCAGCTCATGGTGACACCGAAACTGTAGGCCGAAGAGCTCTGGCCCTGGAGGGAATATATGCCAGGACCTTTGCTTCCCACACCAGCCCCAGACTGCTCCTCTGAGACCTCTACACAGGTGGACACATCTTGCGGTTTCAGTGTCCTGGAGCCAGAATCCAAATCAAACCAGGCAGAGCACCAACCAGCCTGGCCAGCTCCTGCTGACACTGGCTCTGCAGCTGGTGCAAAGCCTTCCTCAGACAAGCTTCCTGGGTGCTCAGTGTCCTGATCACCTTGGCTGCCTGTAGGCCTGGGGCTCTTGCTGCCCCATCCTTCCTTCTCACCAGTCGATGGGGCCTTTGTGGCTGGGCCAGGTTACTGGATTGCTCCCAGGACACCCGGAGGGCTTCCAACTCCTGTTCGACAGCCTCCTGCAAGGCCTTCCTTGTGTTGCTCCACTCTGGCCCCCGGCCTAGGCCTGCAACCTGCATGAGAGAAGAGACTCTTGAGTCAAGGGCAGCTCTGTTCCCAGGAGGCCTGGTCCAGGTGCTCCCAACAACCCGCAGCACCAATGCTCCCACATAGAAAGCCAGTACAAAAGGCCTGACTAGCCCAAACTGTTCCACCCTCACAAAGCAGCTGAAGCCCATGCCTGCAGCAGCAGAGACACAGGGACCCAAGACCCCGGGGATCAGGATCCCTAACCTCAACCTCCAGGGCTCCACTCTCAAGACCTCCACAGCAACAGGTCCACCTGGCTGCAGGACAGCCTGGCACTTTCTAGTCTATCATGTTCCTTAAGGCCCTTCAGAAGTCAGAGGAAGACTCTCGAGAACACCCAGGACTCCAGGGTTCGGTGCAGCGCCTCACACCATTCTTTGTCCCACCTTTCCTTTTCCCGCCGCTGCCCAGGAGTGAAGCACATGAGTGGGGCTGACCCTTAGGGCAGCGCCTATCTAAAGACCCTGTGGGTAGCAGGCCTGGGGTGAATACCACACTGATGAGGGCTTCCCAGCCTCCCACCCACTCAGTAGACCAGCAGGATCACCCTGAGTCCTGGTGCTCTGCTGAACCGGCTCTGCCCTCACTGTGCAGGCCCCACTCCTGGGTCATGGTTGCTGGGAGAGGGGAGGAGACCTGTGGCTCAACCACAGCCTCACTAGGGTGGATAGTGTAGAAATACAGGGGATGCCCCTGATCTTTGATGAGACCACAGAAGAGCTAAAGGGGGCTGCCTGCAGCTCAGATTAAAACGCTACCCGAAAGGAGACCTGATACATCAGTGAATGGCATTTGCTACCAGGAACTGCTGGGGTGGACCACTGGGCAGGGGCAGTGTGGCTGACCAACAAGCAGTGTGCACTGATCTCTGTGGGAGTCTCTGTAACTCTGAAGGTGTGTGAAGGGCAGCAGGGTCGCTTCACTATAACCCCCTGCTGTTGGAATTTGGTGCCCAAGAGCAACACCCATCAAACTTAATCCAAATAAACAGGGAAATAGGTCTACAGGCTTTGCCAAATGGTCAGTCCAGCCCTCCCCCAAGAGTAGCCAGTCCAGACAGGAAGAGGAGGAGGTAGGGTTGGGGGGTAGGTTGGGAAGAGTGGGCAGAGCAAGTGCCTAGGCACTCACCTGGGCTTCCCAGGCAGCCCGCCGGGGCTCAGCCACTTCCCGTAGCTCCTCCTGCAGGGCCTGCAACTCTTGCTTTACCAGCTCCAGCTCAGCAAGCCCACCTTCAGAGATCATGGGCAGGACTATCGGCTGTGAAGTCACGGCAGGACTCTCCGGGGAACAGGCATCCAGAACTGTATCCTGCAGAGACCCCAGTGAGATGGTCGGAGACACACACAGGTTTGCAGTGGGGACAGAAGATGCAGAGATTCATGGAGCAGTGGTAACATTCCCAGGCCCTACTGTGGAGAGGGCAACTCCCGACACCCCAGCTACCACTTCTCTAGCATGCAGAGAAGCACAAAAACCAGACCTCTGGGAGAACCTGAGGTAAGGACCAGCGATATGAGGCCTCCATAGAGGACCAGCCGAGTCCTGAGCAGAGCATCCCTTAGTCTTCTTCTCCTCCATCTTCAAGGTAGGAAGATCCTGCAAAGTCTGCCACCAATGAGCCTGGGACTCCATCAGGGCCAGGAAAGGCAAGGGCAGCAGAAAAAGCTTCCTCACCATCCATTGCCAGAAGACAAGCTGGCAACGCCGCCACTCCAGAGCTGCCTCCAAGCGTATGTTCTCACTCTCCAATGCCTGCAGGAGCTAGACAACAAGACACAGCTGGGTCAGAATGCCCACTGCCCAGCTCCTAAGCCAAGCTCTAGTCCTGGGGCCTTTGACCAGAGCGTTCGGCCCAGTATTTCACTGACTGGAGGCTGCCCCAAAGGCTGTATACATGAGAAGACCCAGGTCAAGGAAGCCTTCTGGGCCATCCCATGTAACTTTGGGAAGAGTTTGTAGGTGATGGGGATTTGGGCATAGGATAGGAGTTTAAGAAGGAAGGTCAGGGCCAGGTCAGAAGATAACCTTTGCACCTCCTCAGCAGTGCAAAGCCTGCTAGCCCTGCACTAACAGCTGGGCTCTACAGAAAGAGCAGCCCCTGGGCCCTCGTCTCTGCTTCCCGAGGTATATTCACTGCCTAGCTAGAGCCAAAAGCCAACAACTCCTTGTTGCCCACCCTTGGTCCTCTGGCTAGGAACCCCAATTTGAAGGCTCCCTTCTAAATACAGATCATCCAACATGCCTGACCCTTACAGAAGACAAAATGCTTGGTAATATGTAACTTGAGGGTGCCTCTGGATGCCCTGCAGGTGCCAGGTCTAGTCAGAGGCCCAACCCTCACAGAATGTAAGTGTTCCCACATTTGACACCTGTATGGAGGACCCAGGGAGCGGAGCCTCACAGAAGACAGCACATGCCAAGTGCACCTAAGACCCCCAACCCTGGCTCCACAGAGAATGCTGCTTCCTGTGGGCTCAGAAACTAGAGACATTGAATGTTAGTCAAGGCCAGTCCATTGGGGCAAGCACGACAGAGGCAGGGGATCAGAGCCACCACTTAGCCATGGGCAGAGATAGGAAAGTTGTGAGAGATGTAAGAGGCCAGATGAGGGTGAGGGGAGCAAACGGTGACCCACAGGCACCACAGAGTAAAGAGCCTACCCACAGGTACAAGGCACCTAAATATACACCAGAAGGGAAGACAATACAGACTCCAAGATAGTCCCCAGGAGGCCCAATGCCCCCAGACTGTGGGGTGTGGGTATAACGAACACCTTCTAATGCTCCACCCTCAATTCTACATTCTCCTGAGGCAGCCATCTCCCTGAACCTCCTCCCCAGCAGGCACAAGGACACAGACGGTGCAAACAGAAGGCTGTGGGCTACGCAGTGACCAAGGGAACTGATTCCTGACGCAGTAACATGCTTGGCTGCTCATACACCAGGAATACATCATTCCAGAAGCTTCTGGGACCTGTCTGCCGGTGGGCCAAATCAGGTTTTGGCCAGATCCTCTCCAAACATGAAAAGAAGCTGAGCTGTGGTCTTGATACACTTAGCCACTGCCACCCACAATCCTGTCTCAACACAGGCCAGCTTCTGAGACAAGAGGTGCCTTACCCATCAGCCCCCGCATTCCACTCCTAGAGTGGTCCCACAGCAAAGTCCCAGGCAGCTAGACTAAGCATGGGAGGCCTCTGCTATAATCCAAGGACCAGGAGCTAGAAACTCCGATTTGCTGAGTCACATTTAAAAGGGGGTCAGGGCCAAGGGTACATAAGGACCCTCAAATGCTGTCGAGCACCACAAGCCAAGCACTGGCCCTGCCAGGGTAGACCCAGCCCAGGATTAATCCAGGGACACAGATACAGCCGCCATCAAGGACCAGGCACCTTACCAGGTGAGCATCCTTGCTTCACAAAATACAAATCACCCAGAGCACAGAAGCCCGATCTGGAATCTGACAAGTGGCCTTGTAGTATGAGGTCCAGAAGATGACAGAGAGAGGGGAAGCCAGGGATCTAGCCACCTGTCCCTCACCCCATGATCCCCCATGATCCTCTGGTCCACCTACCCAGCCCCAGGCCAGGCCTTGGATAAGGTAGAGTCCAGTCTTGGACTGGAGAGGGAAAAGGCAAAAAAGGGAGCTGGGCCTGGAAGGGATCACCCCAGTTCTAGCTCAGCTGCACAAGAATACACACCCAAGGCCAACAGAGCCAGCCAAACACTCAGGATGGTCCAAAATCCAGTCCCAAAGTGATGACCAGTCCTGGACCTGTCCTATAAACCTCAGAGATAAGCTAACCAAAAGGAAGAAACCAGTTGATAGATGGGTAGAGCCCTAAAAACAAAAACCAGGATGAAAGGTCAGCACAGGGTGGGGCAGGGGGAGGGGGAGGAACTGAGTGTCCTGGGGGAAAGCTGGGATGGGGCCAACACTGATACTCTCCTCAGTCTTAGGCAAGGCAGTGCCCACCTGGGTCCACGTCATCGCTGGGTCCCACAGCCTGCTTTTCTCCAGGTCTACAATCTCTATAGGTCTACTTGGGAACCTCAGGAGCCCAGTGCCATACTTGGGTGAATGGCCCCTGGGCAACAAAGTAGGACTGAGGCCTACAAATGTCCTGTACATTGACTTCCCCACAGATGCCGGGGTGCATAGCCCCAGGCTCTGAAGGGCAGCTATCCCCACTCACACTTAGCCTCTCACCACCCGCAGATACATCAGGTAGAGCTGGAGGCTCACTTCTGACCTGAGATTAGTGTTCCTCCATTCCAGCAGCCCCTCCTGAACACCACATACCTCCAACCCTGACTATGACTGGCCAAATAACAGGCACACACACAAACAAGTCTGCCTTCCTGGACAGGTGGGCAATCAGTGGGACAGGGGGAATCCTAAGGGATACACTGATCACCCACAATAGCAAGCAACAGTGATTGCCAAAGCCTAACAGCAGCCCAGACATTTCCCCACAGACCAAACCCCACCATGGGCAGCACCCACCCCACCACCCTGCCAACCCTCACCTGCTGACCGCTCTCTGGATCCCTAAGCATCTCTGTTTCGGCAACAGAAAGATGGCCAAGGTTCTGCTCGCTGTGGCATCCATGGGTGTACAGGTGGATCTGCAATGAGTCATGCACCCAGGCTGGGGAGCAGCTCCACAGCAATATCTCGCCATCTTTAGAGACCACTTACAGCCAGAAGGACAGGGCTGGGCTGAGGGTAGCTCAGTAATGCTGGGGCTGGAGGCTGCAGAGAAGGGGCACTAGAAAACTTCACTGAGGACTTCCACACCTTCCTCACCAGTGTGCAGGTAAAACAGGGTCCTGTAAAGGCTGGAGTGGGAGAAGCCCAGCAGTCCAGGAAGCCAATAGTGGTGACAGAGATGGACCACAGGGAAAGGCAGCCTGGGGCACAGGGTAAACAGGCCCAGTGGCAAAAGCCATGTGACTGTATTACCTTGCTGAGCAGGGTACACTGCTCCTGCTGACTTGAGATCAGGCGTCGCCACCTAATCCGCAGTTTTCCCATCAGCCATTCTACTAGTCGGAGATCCACAGGGCTCTTCGTTTCCACAAGGGGTGCAGAAGGACCAGGACTGGCCAGGGCCTCCCACTAGAGAGGGAACAAGAGTCAGCCCTGAGCTGGGCGTGGTGGCACACGCCTTTAATCCCAGAATTCAGGAGGCAGAGGCAGGTGGATCTCTGTGAGTTCAAGGCCAGCCTGGTCTAAAAATTGAGCCCAGGATAGCCAGGCAGGGCTTTGTTACACAGAGAAACCCTGTCTGAAAAAGGAGAAAAAAAAAAAAAAAAGATTCAGCCCTGCTATGCACCCCATCTCATCCTAAAGGAAGGTTGTGCTACTAATTAGAATTAAGCCTCTATATCCTCACTTCAAAGCTGGATAAGCCCTCCTGAAGATAGCACCAAAGTCAGATTCCATCTGACCTGGAGCCACAGAGAAATCCAGGGTTTCTGGGCAAAGACCCCTCATTAGATACTCACCTCACACGGGGGCAACTGGTCACCCAGCTGCACACGGGTCTGGGCAAGCAGCTGCTCAAGCAAGGGTCCTCGTGCCAGGAGCCAGGACACGGCCAGCAGCAATTCCCGGCTTCCCTGAGAATTGCCCTCAGGAAACTGTAGCAGCACAGACCTGGGGTAGCCTTGGGAGCTCAGTGCTGACTTCACCACGAGAGCTTGGGCCTCTGGAATAGGTAGGAAATTATCAGCTCAGGGGGGTGCTAACCTAGAGATGTCACCTGGATCCCTCCAGGGGCCTGAGAGGTCCCCTAAACTGAAAACCTGCTCAGAGTGGACAAAGTGGGAGATCTGAGAGTCTAGGCGGAGGCAAGGTGGTAACCATGGGGCAGGATTTCTGTGAGCGGTTTGCTCAGAGTCCAGCCAGTCTCAGAGTTTCGCTGTTACCCAGGCAAGCTTGGTAAAGCCCAGTGGGAACCTAGAATTAAGTGGGCGGGCCAGTGAGGTGGAGCAGGTGCCTGCAGTAAGAGGGCACTGGACTTGAATAAGGGGTAGACAAAGGAGAAACTATAATGGGGCGAAGCTTTCTTGGGACAAACCTACTTGGGAGGTAACAAGGGCCTTGGGGAGCAGTTTCTGAACGGGCGGGGCTTACCCGGGGCCTGGTCGGTACAGGTATTGATTTCAGCAAGCGGTGAGAGCACACGCAAGAGAAGCTGCCAGAGCACTGGGGCCTGAAGCGAACAAGGAGTGAGGTAGTAGAAGTTAGCGGGTCTGAAGGTGTCACCGGCGTCGGCCGAGGACACCGCCTTCCCGAACTAACCACTCTGGTAGCCTCACCGCCTCTGGACGGTCAAACTTTGCGCGGCGGAAGATTTCGGGGCTGGGCCCAGCAGGCAGGGACCGACTCAGCGCGGCGATGGCCTCAGGCAGGGCCCGGGCGGCCCCTTGCACCCGCGGCCCCCGCCGCCCCATGGAACCTGCACTAGGCAGCCTCGGATCACCCGCCCGGAGGCCGCGACCAATCACGGTTCCGGCTGGGACCCGCCTTCTCCGCCCAGGCCCAATGAACGGCGACGCTGGCGTTTGAGTGACAACCAGTCGACCCTGTAGGCAGGCACTTCCGGGCCTAGGCGGGGCCTTGTATCTGCCAACTCCGGTGACTTGGTAACGCGCCAATCAGCTCCTCCAGTTACCAACTTCCTAGCAACGGGGGCAGGCAGCGCTATGCTTGAGGGCGCGCATGCGCCTGAGGTGTTCCCTGGAGGCACGGAGAGCCACGCGGCTCCACCCAGCCACCGAGAGCCAGTGTCTTTGCGGGGCCGCCCAGGAGGCCGCCGCCAGGGGTCGCCAGGGACCCGCGAGAAGAAGCCGAGCCCTCCAAAGCGGGTGGGGAGTTCCGGGGGCCACGTCGCCAGCCTCTGGAGAAAGATGTCCTCCCTCTCCTGTACAGTCCCAGACCTCGTTGTCTCCATTTTCACACTTCCTCCAGCCACTAGAAGACGAGTTCGTTGGTTGGTTGGTTTGGTTGGTTGGTTGGTTGGTTGGTTGGTTGGTTGGTTGGTTTTGGTTTTTTGAGACAGGGTTTCTCTGTGTAGCCCTGACTGCCCTGGACTCGCCTTGTAGACCAGGCTGGCCTCGAACTCAGAGATCTGCCTGCCTCTGCCTCCCCGAGTGCTGGGATTGCAGGCGTGCGCCACCGCGCCAGGCTAGAAGATGAGTTTTTAAAGGGAAATTCTCCACTTTAGAAAAGGGTGCGGCCCCCTCCTTTAGGGTTGAACTTAGTTTCGCGCACAAACCTACATGTCCATCTTGGTACGCTGTGAGAATTCTGCAAGGAAGTTCCCAGCAGCTCCGTGACAAGGGCAGAATGAACCCAGAGTCCAACCTGGGGAGCGGGGAAAGACGCTGCATCACGTGCAGTCGGAAATTATGCTCCGCAAGGGGCAAACGCCTGCTACGGAGCAGCACCCAGGGTGAAGCCCGAGCAGCCTCTGTGGGAAGCCAGGTACGAAAGGACCACACCGAACGCGCCCGTGCGTGTGGAGGGCCTGACAAAGGCCGGAGGCTACCTACGCAGATCCGGAGACGAGCCCGCGGGCCACGAATGCACGGGGAACTGCGGGGGCGAGGGCCTGTGCGCTCGGGCGGACACAAGCTAAGCTTTGTGCACTCGTCACCAGAAGTAGCCGGGCAGTGGACAGTACTGTGTGTACTCTACGGCTCAATAAAGCCGGGAAAGAGGTAGGTGGAGAGGGAGAGGAAGCAGCGAGGAGGAGGAAACTAAGTTGAGAGGGAGGGGCAGAGGACCAAGGCACCTGCGAGTTTAGCCGCGTCAACAGGATGGCCACGCCCTCCGGAAGTGCCCGACTGTGGACTCAAACCTTTACCTTAACCCTCCCAGCATCTTTGAGACCAGCTTTTCGTCCCGGCTCCTGTTCGCGAAATGACTTTTGGCTGCAGACCTGCCTCTGCTCATCTGGGTGCCCTCGGCCATCCGGCCTCAGGGTGTCCTCCTTCCTGGCGACCTGCCACGCAGCTACGGCTGCTGCTGCCAAATGGTCATGCCCATCTAGAGTGTACCTGCTCCTGCAGTCCCCACTCCAGGGCCCTGCTTCTGCACGTCTTAACACTTCGAAGCGCCCTGCTGGCTGCTGTACCGAGGAACTCCTGGTAGACCCTTAGGGAGCCCTCTGCCTTTCAAGGCCTCCCCCGCCTGACCTACTCATTCCTACGGGCCTCAGGTTGCTGAGCGTTCACCCCAAGTCTACCCTGGTCAGGAGATGTAAGTCTGAGTGTAGGGGAGCCTCGACGGTGGGAGACCTCGGGGAGAGTGAGCTTCCGCCCTTCACCCACTAGTCTCTTCCAGGTCCTCTGCAGGTGTTACTGGACACTGAAGACTTGGAGGTCTGTCCCAGTACCCACACCCCTCCCAGGAGGAAACTCTTTAAGATCTCAGGCCAGCCTCTTCTGCTGTCTTCTGTTCTCCCCCGAAGCATATGGCCTCCAGCTGTTGAACCACCCAATAACACAGTCCACTACATACCACTTACAGGACTCACCAACAACCTGTCAGCCTCGTTCCTGCACTATAGGTGCCTAAGACTAGGGCGGGCAAGGCCAGGGCACTGCTGAGACCTTTGTGGCCTTGTTAAGTCCAAACGGGTCTTGAAGGGAAGGTGAAGCTGAGAGCTGCCTGGCTCTCAGAGTTTCCAGAGCCCTTTCGGCTGCCATAGAGCCAGCCCTCAGATCCCAGGCCACGCAGGGCATTCCTGGGCAGGGAAGAGGGAAAATATGGATGTGATGCCTGGGTCCAGGCTGAGCAGCTGCAGAACTCACCCTCAAGGGTGCACTTCTGGGGGCAGGGTGGGGTTGCAAGGAAGTGGAAACAAAATAGGCAAGAAATCCACACGGCTCCCCCAAAGCATCTCAAAAGGGGAACCAGAGCAGCTCCCTCTGATTCACCCTGAGTTGTGGCCAGCCCCACCTACTCGCAGGCACCATGTTCCTGATGACCCTGTCGGCCAGGGCCTCACCCCAGGCCAGAACCACTAAGAGCTACAGGAACTTTATGGATCCTGAAGTTGGAGGGAGGCCTGAGCTCCTGGCCCTTACTGCCCCAGGGGGTCGTGGGCAGCAATGTGTGTGGCAGCTGGAACAGCAAGTGCCCTGCATTAGGCCTGGGGCAGTGGATCCCCTCCACCCACACACTGGTAGACAAACACACAGGTCTTCCAAAGATCGGGTTTATTAACGGCCGGAAGTGCTACTGAGCGCCCTGCTGTCTAGGGTAAGGCCGGGCAGATAGAGTTTCCACAACCTGTAAGAAGAAACGGAGACAAATGTGAGTGCATCTCCAGGTCTTGTGTGTTAGGGGTGACTGGGTGGGATTGGAGGTGGGGCTATACCTGGATCTACTTGAAAGTGTGGCTCTCAGCTCCACCTCGCCCAAAGCCTACAAAAATAAAAAATAAATAAAGATATCAGTAGGCTGGGCAAGGAGGCCAGTAGAGGGAAGAGGCCTGTCAGGGAAGAAGAGATCCAACGACATACCTTTGGGCCCAAAGGTGGCTGCGTAGCAGGGATGGTTGCAGTAAGGCTTGCCTTCATGCTATGAAACAAAACCAAAGAGCATGAGCGGAAGCCTTCACCCCAGCTCCTGTGGCTCCTCCCACAACACCCCCCAGTCCTGTACCTCGGCATGACCCCCAGAGGTCAGTGTCTTTCCACATTTCTCACACTTCAGGCAGGGACGATGCCAGTCCTTGCCTAGTGACGTCACTCGCTCGGCTGCAAAAGCACAGACCCACTATGAGACACCAGGGTCCCTGCACATAGACCTGCACTTCACTCTGTGGTGGCCGCCCTGGGTCCCCAGACTCCACAGGGGGCCACCCCTGGTGCTCTCAAGCCAACACTGCCTCACAAACCCGCAGGGTTCCCTTAGTAATGGGAAATTTGCCTTCCTTTTTTAGGTTTTGTTGTTAGTTGTTGAGACAGGGTTTCTATATATAACAGCTCTGGCTGTCCCGAACTTGCTTTGTAGACCACGCTGGCCTTGAACTCAGGGATCCTCCTACCTCTGCCCTCCCAAGTGCTGGAACTAAAGTTTCGGACCACCCATCCTGGCTAATTTGGTGGGATAGCTTTCAAGTGTGAGGGCTCGTAGGACTGGAGAGGAGGCGGCCTTCGGACTTGGGGCACAGGGTGGAGCCCAGGTCTGGAGGGTCTAAGGCTCCTCGCTCGCTCTGGGTTAAGTCCTCTGACCTCCGCGCTGGTGGCTGGGTAAATGAACCTGGGCGCGCCCTTCTCCGCAGCAGGGACGAGGAGACCTCTTACGCACCCGCACCCTCTCGCTGGGAGCCCTAGGGCGCGCGAAGAGATCTCAGCCCCCGGACGTGGTTTTCCGCTGTCTGTTTCTACTTAGCGTAGGGAGGGGCCGCCCCAGTCGCGCGTTCCTTCCTATGCCGCGGGGACCCCGCCCAGGGCGCGCAGAGAGAAACTGAGAGAATCAGTGGGATCCACAGGCCAGGGTCACAGAGAGGGAGACACCCAGAAGCTTGGGGGTCATGAAGACCTGGAGACCCATAGGCCAGGAATGTAAGACCCACCCGGAAACTTAAGACAGCGAGTGGACACAACCCTCTGTTCCGTTTGACAACAAGCGGTCCCACCCTCAAACCAAGGGCAAGGTCCGTGGGTTCGACCCCAGGCGATGCCGGGAACTCCAGGCACTCCCGTCCACCTGAGCAGCCCAGCGCTGCCCACCTCCAGGGCACGCTTTCGCGTACCGCCAGCTGTACGCCCGCAGGCATGCGGAGAAAGGTCGGGATACCCGGGCGTGCTCACCGAAATACACCTCCTTGTCGCACTTGGGGCACTTCGGCATGGCGTAGCTCGGTCCTGCACAAGTGGGTGCACCTAGAAGAAAGAAAGTTGTAGGCTCTGGACTGGGTGGCGCCCGCCTGGTCCGCGCTTTTCAGGGACCCCGCAGCCCTGCCCTTTAAGGCCCCGCCCCCGCCCCGCCCCCTCAGTCCGGAACTTGGACCCTTGGGATCTCTGATCCAGGCCGAGTGGCCAAGAATGGTCATCTAGTCCATGCTCACCTCTGGCAGGACAAAGTGGTCAAGGGCCGTGCAGGGGTGCTGGGTCTTCTGGGGACCTTCCGTCCGGGTGCTCCCGAGGGCCCTGACCCCGCCCCCTGCCTGGGGCAGGGCAAGCCTGAGGTCTTGAATGGGGACGCTTGGGTCCTCCCCTCGCAAGCTGAAGCGCCCCATCAGAGCCACCTGCGAGGGTTTGCTGGAGCCGCGGTGGGCACAGGAAACTTCTGAAGGGCAGATAAACCGGGCGTGGTGCGATTGCCCGAACTACTAAAACTGGTGAGGCCAATCCGGCCTCTAGAGTGAAACAGGTTTCAAAACACAAAAAAGGAAAATAAAATAAAATGCAGATCGATGCAAATTAGCATTCAAGGA